TATTTAAAAAGTATCTTCAGTTTCTTTTTTACACTAACACCTTGCATTTTTCACCTTCCACACTTACTCCAAAACCTTCGCTTTGCCTTTTTTTTAATAAAAATGAATAAAACTTTGAAATATGTAGCGGAAGAAGCCTATAAAGATACATTTATGAAAAAATTATGCGATGAAACTTATTCTAACCCCTTATAGTTGCAGACAAACCCTAAATATATTTGGCAAAAGTTAAAACTTTTCAGAAATTATTTTGAGTTTCGATAGGTTTTAATATTTTAAATTAGAAAAATAATATATTATTTATCAAGCAGGTTTAAATTTGAAAGTACAGATTAAAGAGTTACCTTATGAAGAAAAGGTTAAAACTGGGTTTATTTTTATATTATACTTTTAAAAATCTGAAATTTTTTTAAAGCTTAGATATCTGAATGTAAGCAAACGTCATTATTACTAAAATTGGTTTCTTCATTATTATCCCTTCGTCTGTAGACTTTCACATGCTACAATGTTTATGCAGGCAAATTTGCCTGCGTTACAGACGATGGGATCATTCTCTTATTTGAAGCAAATCCTTAATTAGAAAATCTTTTCATTTTTAGGTCAATGATATCGTTTGCATATATTCCAAGACTCTACATTTGTTACATATTTTCAGCAGATTACGAAAACTTCTGAAATTGGTCTCTAACCAATATTTTTTTAAAAAAAATATTAGCACTGCATTTAATGTATATTTAAAATTTTATTTTATATTCTGTATATAAATAAAAAAAAAAAAAAAGATTGCAATACTGGTATAAACTTTAGTACAATGAATTATTTGTACCTTCTCATGTGCATTACAAATAAAAACAAATATATTGTTTGTATATCATTATTCGAACGTTAAAAATGTACGGACATGTCCGAATTTTTATCATGGATTGGTTGTTTATACATGAAGAAAAATAATTTTGCGTAACATCTATTTTGATGATCAAGCACGGTTCAACTGTTCAAAATGACATGGCAATTTTTATTAATGCAGGCATCTACAGTACAGTATTTTTTTTTTTTTTTGAACCGATGGAAAGATTCGTGAAACCAACATTACATACTCATAAATAAAAAGAACTAACCTTTTTCGCTCAGCGATAACCCAGAAATTGAACTTTTATTAACTTTGATAAGTATTCCAAAGAACTTCTTATAGATGCTTCTTGTTAGAAACAATTTTCATTTTTTTTTTTTTTTTTTTTTTTTTTTTTTTATTGAAAATTCATTTGTTCAAATTTTACCACGACGATAAAAAAATTTAATAAAATTGGATTCAATTGAATCGATACAATTTTTAAAAAAATCGATTTCGTCGATTACAAAAAGCAATTAAAGAGCGGAACCTATAATTTCGACTTTGTTTTTATACATAAAATTAAAATAACATTCTCTGATTATTATCTGAACATATTGTACTTCACGAAAGAATATGTGTTGAATTTTGAGAAGGAAAAATATTCGGATGAAATTTGTTCTTAAAGGTCAAAGTTTTTCAAGCCCGAGCTATTATGATAAACTTTTGAAAAAAAGAACCGCCACTTATTAACGTATGAAAACGTACTTTATTAAAATTATTGTTTGTTTTTATTTTTATTTTGGTAATAGCCATGTTTGGCAATTTCTAAGGCAAGAACGAAATATCGAGCGTCAAGGTTAACATCGAAAGTTTGCAGTATTATTAAGTAATATAAATAATAAATAAATATATTTATTTATTCAGAAACGAAATTCTACAGACTTTTAAAGTTGTCATTAACGCTTATTATAAAGCCAAGGCATCAAAACTTTTCAAATATCAAGGATCCAAGTAGGTTTTTATAATAATTAGCACCGTAAATATAAAAAAAAATTAACCTTTGTATATCTTAAAATAAAATCTATACCTAATATTAAAAAATTTAGCCACAGGGGATCCTTGACTATTTGGGTTAATTTTTCTCGAATTGATCACGGAATTTATCCGCATAATTATACTAAAAAGCAAGTCGGTACTTGTAATTTATTAGATGTGAAAATGAAAATTATTTTTTTTTTATTTAAATTCATCATATTTGACGATTGTAGAGATTAGGTCAAAGGCATATGATTTACCGTTTAATTAGTAATATTAGTAATATAAGAATTTCTTTGTATATAAATTAATAATTATTTCAATAATATATTAGAGAAGGAAATGCTCATCAAGAAGTAAGGAATAAGTAAATCAAAATATAAATATAAATATAGGAAGATTTAAAAATGCCATGTTAGAATGGTTAAAAAATAATTTCTCTTTCTTTTGACTAGCGCCATAATTTTTGAAAAAAAAACAAAGTTAACATTTTACCGTGATCTGCGGAAGTTACTACTATTTCTGGTAACGAATTCATTATTTGTTATGTCCAAAAATTTACTGCGTGATAGTGGATAACAAAAAATTTCAATGACTTAAAACCTCTTGATAAAGCTAAGACTCCATATTAGTTACCATTGAGGTCATTTTAGACGGTTTTTGATCGTTGTAACGCCAAAGACCAAATGAACAATGGCATTCTAACCTTTAAGAAATGGTAAATGAGTCACAATCCAAATAATCATATGAATGAGATCATGCACGTTGTTATAAAGAATAATCATAAATTAAAACTTTCTTTATATGAATCTAATTTTATTCCGGTGCATTTTATTTATCGTACAATTTTTTTTTTCAATGAAAATCGTATTTTAGTATATAAATGAAATGTATAATAAAAGGAAATATCGTAGCAAGAGTCCGTTGGCGTCTTTAAGGTTTGTTTCTATCATTATAATACTCATATTTGCTTATGGCATATGTCAAAGATGAACAAAGAATTCGAGACAAGGAACTAATTCCTGTTTCATATTCATTTCTAACAGGATTCGTCAAAGTTATTTTATTTAATCATGTCACAAGAAAAAAATTTTATCAATAAAACCATATTACAATTCTTTTAATTCTACTATTTCAAGTAGGTTAAAAAAATGAAACTATAATAGGATTAGATTATTAGATGCATGAACAAAAAAAAAAGGTGGTAACGAGCATAAGATGAAAAATTTTTTTGCTTAATCTATGATCATTTGCAATACAAGATATGCAGGGTTTTTTTTTCAAAGAATATATATTCGGAAGCTTTATGTAGATAAAATCTTAATCCAAAAAAGGAATGTCACGCATGGTTACACAAATGTTTTATTCAATTTTTTTATGTACAGTACATTATCGTTTTAGTAAAATGTCCGACTCTCGATGTCCTGAAAATGTATGCATGCCCGGAATATGCAACGTGAAGGAGAAAAAAAAAAATTTTTAAATTTAGACATTATTAATGGGATCCTTTCAATCAAAACATTTCAGTAAATTTTCAATGAGTAACTAGATCATCAATACGTTTTCGGTATAATAACTAAAGAATTAAAGGGTTTATCTTTACACAATTAGTCAACTATAATTGAAATTTTTTTTTTTTTTTTTACTGCAAGTCATCGAAAGGCTTTTCTTTCTATAATTGGGTTTTTTATTTGTATCAGCAAATTATCATAGAGAAAAAATATATTTCGTAGTAAGTACAAAGGTCTGTAACGAGTACGAAAATAATTTTGTGATACTTTTTTTAACAATGGCATATTTTTACAAGTTATTCTATTTAAGTTTACAGTGTAACGTCGATGCTTTAATTCATTTTAAAAAATAATTATATGTTGATCAAATCAAAAAGAACCCGAATATGGTTTCTATAAAACACGAAAAAAAAGAATCCTCTTGTATAAATACAAGAGCTGAAAGTTTATCTTTTTTTGCACCGATTGAATATTTTCATCAAACAATCTTTCATCAAACAATCTTTCGACTCAATCATTTACTAATGATAGAATACATAATACCTCGAAAGGGAAAAGTACTCGCAAAACTTTAATTATCCTCGAGAATGAGAACGTAAATATTACTAGCATAAAATTATTTTTCTTGGCGATTTTATTCTGTGCGAAGACGCGTAAATCAGTTTCAATTATGAATTCAATTAACGATTAACTGCCATTCGAAGAGTTTTGGAGGGATCGTTTGCCCTAACCCTAACCCTAATCCGATATATAAATATCGAATAGAGTTTGCGGGGATAAGGATTATGTTTTCAAATTTGCACTTGAAATACGATTTCTTGATGAAATTTTCAATTCCAAATATTAAATTAAATATAATTTAGAGAAACTTCGAATCGCAAACTTGATTCAAAAAATTATAAAATTAAGTAGATCGTTTTCATGTAAAATTTCACCAAACCAAATATATTTGTTTAATCGCTCGTAACTTAATAAAATAAATCTTTACTCTCTTACCATGTTTGGTAATTAAATTTTCTGTTTGATGTAAAAATATGTTAATACAAAATTTGAACTTATGTCCAAGTTAACCCATTTTATCCAATGAAAGTAATTCGGACCATCTCCGAAAATTGTATAGGACAGTTATTATCAATGAATTTCAATAAATACATTTCTAACTTAACTTTTAATGTAACGTGTGTCAAGTCGTAATATATTTGTTTTGTTTCAATTTCAGCCCTTTAATGTAAAATGGTGATTGCATTCAATCTTTTTTTCAAATTATGAAAGAACCTTAAAAAACATCCAATCAAACAACTCCAAAGAATATATATATATATATATTTTTTATAGTTTTGATTTAAAGTTTAAAAAAGAAAATGTTTTATAAAGTAATTAAATACATAAAAAAAACCATCAAGTTACGATATAAATAAAAATTTCAAATTTACTATATTGACTAATTTTGATTCAAATATAAATTTTGTGAAACATTTAATAAACCTTGATCATAAAATTTTGAATTTTGGTAAAATTATTGCAGAGGGAAATTTAAACACCACACCATCAATTAATGATCTTTTCTTATAAATACAACAAAGATATGATGAAAAATTCCCGAGTTATGAAATATCTGAAAAATGTCTTCTAATCAGCAACAACAATCAAGAAACGTAAATGATGAAGATGACACATTATTAAATCGTGTCAAGAATTTAATTGTACAAACCACCACAGATAATATTTTGACAAATGATTTTTATAACGGAAGTCCGTTTCCAAATCCACCAAAAATCGAAATAGAGCCTTCAAGGAATGATATCATTACCGGGTTTAATGCATTCTAAACGATTTATTCGAAAGAAAGAAAATTTGCAGGTGAGAAGAATTCTAATTAAAAAAAAAAATCCTTTATATGAATTAATTGATTTAACTACATTTCATGTTTACTAGTAACTCGGTATTCGATCTTACTCGACCACAATGTGTGAAATACATATCTTCTAAATTGATATATTTTATTTTTTATTTTTTTTTACAAAATATTTATGCGGCAAATTGAAAAAAGAATATTCTTTTATTCGCTTCTAAAAAGCTTTAATATGAATATTGACGCGAACTAATAATTTAATTATTCTCATGATGTGAAATTAGTCCTTTTTTTTAAAAAAAATGTTTCTTTTTACATTTATATTTGTCAAACAATTTTCTAACAATATGGACCTTTGCAATAGAAATGGGGGAAACAGTCGGAAAAAATCAAAAATTTCTTGCATTAATAATGAACATTTGTATATTTTATTATAAATAAACTTGTTTTTTATTATCTCGACATAGTGTATTAAGGAAGTGATATTAAATTTTTACGTTTGAAACTGTAATTTCATTTTGAAATTTAACAAATTAAAAATCGATATAACCGAGTTAGGCTGGGGCTTCTATGGAAGTACTAAGCTTCTTTTAGAACTTTTAAACATTCTAATTAGCGAATAGAGGCAAAAGCCTAGATCGTACATATTAGCTAACTATTAAAAAATGATTACGCTTGACTTTAATGGCTTACATTCATTATCTAAAAAGAAAAAAATCATACGGTTTTGGAATATCTTTATCCAGTGATAAAAAATTTTCTGCAAATAAACAGTAATTACAAAAAAAAAAAGAAAAAAGTCGCGTAAGTCAACTCATATTTGGAGTCTTTCAAGTAACACCAGGAAATCTTACACTTATAAGTATTTTATTTAGGAAGGATATCAAAGGTTTGCACACATTAGGTTCAGTGTCACGTCCAGCTTTATTGGTCTTTTTGTTAAAAGGGGATAAAAAGATTATTATAATGTACAATGACGCAATGGTCAAGTAATAAGAAATCAACCTGTCGAGATTGGAGCAGTAAATGTGTTTTTTTTTTAACCAAGTAAATCGCATAGGAACAATACTAAGAAATAAATCATTATTATTGAACTATAATAACCATTGAGCGGAACGCGTACGTATAATGTAAATTTCCCATTTTAAGGTTATATTAAGATCAAACCATCGAATGAAGAATCAATCCAAAAAAGTAAACCTATAAAGAGTTACTGATTAAACTTTAAATTCGCCCACTTTATATTAACAGACGATCATAAATAATTTGCTTTTTTAATATTGTGCCATGACGTTTTTGAATAAATCAATTACGAGTAGTAAATTATTTGTTTCAAAATTTTATAAAATATTTTTTCTTATACAATTACCAAAGCTGTGCCATACTAACGACTGCGTCACATTATGACTTCTCTCTCCAACTCTCCTGAAAAACCACAAATAGCTGGATCATAATTTTAATAGAATGCTGTGCCATGTGTATAGCATGTCAAATGAAATACGCCGCCAACTGTCATTATTATGCATGGCCACAAAAAAAAATTATTATAATAATAATAATATATTCTGCACCTCCCTCAATGTGATTGGATAGTGATTGAGATGGTGCAGCATTACGATCAATTGAAACTTCTGATGCGTCTACTAATAAATGAGTGAAAAGAAAATAAATGGAATAATCGAATCATAATAGCATAATTAAAGTTAGAAGATTGTAAATATTAAATCTTTGCATTTGAATCTGTAAGAATTTGTAACATAAAAATTATATAGGCTGAAGATCCTTTAATATAAGACGAAGGAAGTGCGATTGTGCAACCTTTATTGTTGCTAAAAATTTGACCAATCAGCGCAGCTCTATGAAAAAAAAAAAGATGGGTAGTAGCTCCAGGTATTTTTGAATTTTTTAACCAATCAAATCATTCAAATGGTAAATGAAAAATATTTCCCGATTATATGTCACCGGCACGTGGGACGTGAAAATTTACTTGGTAATTTCTGGGGATATGGATATATCTAACCTAATATAACATATCCCAAACCTTAATTTACACCTAATCCTAACGCTAATTTACGCATTAATCCTAATCCTCCCCCATGAAAATGGAATAAAAATTAAGAAATTAAATGATTAAATATTAATAATGATAATTATCGTTAGTACAAACACATCAAATAAAATAATATTTTTGCTTATTTGCACTTAGTTATATATAAAATTTAAAATTTAACGATGGACAAGATATATTATTATCTGTAATAATTAAACTACGGGGAAATTCAATATAACCTACCTTTTATCTTAACCTTAACGTCTTCGTCAAAACTTTAAAGGTGAATGTTCATCAGCATCTTCGATCATTTCATTGATATCCGAAAGTTTCTTAGTTGAAATTAAATATTGCTTACCCGGAAAATGTAAATATAATTTGTGATTATTATTTCACTTAGAAAATCAATACAGTTGACGGGTCGATTGCTAGGAAAATCAGGTTTTCGGGAATTTTTTTAACAAAATTGAGATTTTTATTGCATAATATTTTTGGATTAAAATGCAATAAGATCTGTCACTTTCTCACTCTCCTTTTATAAACTTTTTTTTTGTTAGTCCGAAATTACTAATAAATTTATTAAAAAATTCTTTTCTATACAGATTTTTACAATAACGTCAATCTTTTGGTCCCAACCACTATAGGTCAATAGGGAGTCGACTGTATCTATGTTTTCAAGTTACATTGTTTATTTATTTATGATTCTTTCAAGATTGGTGCGTTTATAATAAAAGCATTGGTGAATTCAAATTACGTGACTATCCATTAAAATATGGAAAATTATTTTTAATAATAAATTTGACGAAGATCCATATCTTTTGTTCTTTTTTTTTTATTGTAAAATTTATTCACAATATATTTATTATTTATAAAACATAACGTGATATTTTAATAAAATTTTAACAAAATGCATACATATGAATGCCCGTTGAATTTTTTTAAAAAAAGTTTTATTTAATTATACTGCGGATGAAAAATAAATATTGACGCAGTTAGTTGCTGAAAACTAATTTTAACCAAAAATTCTTGTAATTCTCTGTTTGTTAAGCAATTCGAGATTATACTTTGAAACATCCAATTTTTTTTTTACTAAAAAAAAAAAAAATATTTAACGTAAAAATAAAAAGAAATGCAATGTAACGGTAATGTGCATAAAAAAAAATGCTAGAGTCATATGAAATCGATCTTCTGATCTCATGATTTGCTGACTTGCATGAAATTTATTTAAAAGAGAGAAAGAATATATTACTCTAAATAGATACATGAAAACAATTATAAAAATTACAATAAAGAAAACTGAAGACAGAAATTTTACCTTTTTATATTTGAAAATATTTAAATAATTTACAACATATACCACTGTGAATTGGAATTAATTTTTTTTTTTTTGTTTATTTAAATATTATAACAATCTGTAAAGTTATTGACGTTTAAATAATTTTTAATCATTGTTTATTCTTAATTAGTCATAGTTGCTTCACAGAAATAAAAAAATTCCAAAATTATACCTAGATTTTTGTTTGTTACACAATATATTTTGACTCGAACCTTATCTCGCATTCTTTATTCTACGAATTTATTATAAATAAGGACTCATAATAAAATAAAAATCTTTTGTATCAGAAAAAACTATCAGTGCCCATACATGCATACATATGTCATGCATTATGAGACCACACTACACGGATTATTATAGAATAAATACATACACTTACGCGCATACGAAAAATTTTAATTATAATAATGACTAGAAGACTAAAAAGTGGATACGAAACATTTCGCGTATCAATATATCCAATATCTCTTAATATTTTTAATATTTAAATTTTTTACATACAAAGTATGATAGTTAACGAATAGATTCTAATAAAAAAAATAAATATTACTATTGAAATTATGCCATTTTTACTTAGATTATTTAGGACCTAGACATAATGAATAAATCTTAATTAAATAAATTAAGGTAGCCCGTGCGACATTAAAAAGTTACCAGGAAGAAAATTCTATTTAGGAGTAAGTGAAATATCATTTATTATTATGGGTTTTTTTCACTCGTCGAAACATTCGCGGTTTTGCTTTTAATAAAAAATTTTGCAAAACGTCAAAACTGGTTGAAACCACGGGATTTATATGCACCTTATTATAAACAAATGCAACAAAAAATGGCATTAACTTTATCAACCGAATATTGATGAGTATTTTAATCATTCCATAATAATTTCTGTGCATCAAATAAAACAAAATGGTCAACCTTTTTCTTTCTACTTTTAAGTTTTGATTGTTTAAATCCAGCCACATCTCCAAAAAGGTAAATTATAACGAATTTGGATTACGTAATATTTTGTACTACCAGATTCTGGTTAATATTGTTCTCAATAAACTTATTTTCGTCCACATGATACGTAAAAAAAGACTGACTACGGTTCTTTATTCCAACAGCAACGAGCCTTGGGTCATGAATATTGACTCTGTTCTTTAAAGGTCGACGACGTGAATTGAGTTGATGATTTTAAAGCGAATCTTATAATAATTTAATTTATCATGTATTTCATATTTTACTATAATAAAATTAAAAACCGAATTTCTCGAATTTCTGTAATAGGAACTTGTGGCCGTCGTGTGATCAGGATTTTTTTTTTTATTATATCTATTAGCTTGCGTCAATATTATATATATATTTTTTTATATTTTGCAAATCCTAATTACTTTAATAATTTTTTTTTTATTAAACCGTCGAAAACCGCCTCGTTCATTGACTATAATCACATCATTTTATTTTAATTTGTCGTAATAATAATTATAATCTAAATGAATATGAAATTCTATATACAACAATTAATCACGAGATTTAAAATTTATTATGAACTAAAAATTTAAATTATCAAAATTTTTGTCTACCCTTTAAATAGTCCCTGCATACTTTCTATTTCAATATATTAACTTATCTAAGAATGTACCTTCT